AAAAGAAAATGTTATCTTTTTCTCTTTTTTTACTTCCCTTCTTCCTATTTTCTCTCACAATAAAGAAAAGCCTCAAGAAGAGGATCATTGACTCTCTTTCATCTTCTTCTTCTCTCTAAGAAGAATGATAGCTTTTTCTCTTCTTCTCTATAAGAGAATTATAACTTTCTATCTCTTTTTATTCTTCTTTATAAATAAGGCTTCATGTATCTCTAATACACTAAAAACAATCCACCCAAAGAATGGCCCAAGAGAGATGCATGCCCAAAATGGCCTAAGAGATATGCCTTTGGGCAAACCAACCAAGAGCACAAATAATTTTTATATATGGGCCAAAGGGATAACCACCGCAACTATCATATTTAGAAGTCTATCGCATAACCTCCTAAAAGGATGTCCATCTTTATCTCATGTTTTGGAAAGATATAAGAAGAATATCTTCCCATACCAAAACCATAGGTGAGATCCTATTTGTGTAAGATGGTGACTTGCGTAACAAATCACCCTCTTACACTTTCCCAAACTGCTCATTAACAATAAGACAATTCTATTGATGTCCCTCCCATATGAGATGGGATTCCCAATAATTTTTCTCATGTTATTATCCCGAGACTCTCCATTTACCTTCTCCACTGAGTTAGCTTCGTCATTGAAACATGTAAAATCTATGTGCATATCTTTATTTTTATTTTTATTGCTTTTTCAGTTTTCTTCCTTTGAATTTTTTCTATCAATCAGCAAGTATTACACATGATGTTCAAGATTTCGTTCTTGTTCAACAACTATTGTCCAGAGCTTTGAGACTCTTGTTCTCGTTGAGACCCATTGATTCTTACAGCTAGAGTAGAACTCGTCTTCGTAAGTAAATGTCACTAGGATTATGAAAAGTATGTAATAAGACTATATCTTAGGTCCAAGGTGGTCCTAATCAACTTGGCTCTTATGGGTGAAATTAGGTGGCTAGGCATGTCCTATTGTCTAAGCTCAAAATTAAATAATAATAATAATAATAAAGTATGTGGTATAACTTTAGTTGCCAGATTCCACATTTGACAAATATCCTTAATCATGACCTACTTGACCAAAAGTAAATAATCTCATGCAATTTCTTTAATGTTAGGAGACTACAATTAAATGCTATTTGGCATCTACATGAAATGTATTTGGCTATCATAAGCATTTCCTTTATGGTAAACCATTATGTGTTTCATAAAAAGCCTCATTTTGGTAAGGCATTAGCCCCCTAAGAAAATGCAAAGTGTTTGGGATTTAGAATACTGTGGACCTTATTCTCATAGCTTAATAAAAGATGGGGCTCTAGTGCATGTGCTTATCAAGGGGATTCTTGAGGCCCATAGATGAATAAGCAATTGTGACTCAAGAAAGGCACAAACACCTTGGCCTGCCAGGTATATATCTTTCGATAGAGCTTTTTTTCTTGGTTTATGGAAATCAGTTCCAAGCTGCTCATAGACACCTTGTCAAGTACATTCACCACCTCAACAGATAAGAGTAGCAAAGTACCTTTGTTTAATTGGTTACAAGTAGCTACAATTTAGAAGAATGATAAAATTACATACGGACCATCCAAAATACCAGACAACTCTCCGACGTTTAAACAAAAAGAAGCTCCCCGGTGTTCAAAATACTAGACAACTCTTTAAGTTTTAAGTTTACAATTTGATGTCTGAATTTTAAAATACCGGATAGCTTCTTTTTACCTTACGAAATTAAAAACGCTGCCCGGTGTTTGATCTACCGGACAGGGTTTTGGCACCTTTTAATCCGAAAAAGCCCCCATTTCGCTCTGCTCCACTCTCTCTTTTCTATGTTAGCTCGTTGGTGAAGCCCAAGCCCAAGCCTAAGTCAAGCACTTATCTCAATTTGTCTTTCCTGAATCCAAGCCCTATGTGTGTCATTCAAGCAAGCTTATCAAACCACAACCAAATCAGGTATGTTTTAGGAACTTTTTTTTTGGTAAATGACATTTGGGGGATTTTAGGGTTTTGGGGATAAAATAACCCAAACATTTGTAAATGGCAAATTAGGTCTTTTGGTTCACTTATGAATGTTCATTTTCCTATTTGATAGTGTTTGAAAGTATGCATTGTTAGGTCTTGTTGAATATTCAATTGAATCAATAATAAATGTTTATTGATTGATAAAAATAAAGAAGGATCGATAATGCTTTGAATGTAGAGGTAGGTTCCCTTTTTGCAAATATAATATTTTATCAAATAATGAACTCAATCTTAGGGGTTAATGGATTTTTATTGATTGAATATAGTAGGATAGCTTTAGTCACAACATATTATTTTACTTTATTAATAAAAATATATTTTATGCTCCTGCAAGAGTGTAGTGTTGATCATGGAAAATAAACCCCAACACTGAAGGCTTTTTTGTTTTATCTAGAAGATTAAGATTATGCAATCTTGTGGGACAGGATTTTGAGACTGTTGTGGATTTACATATTCACTTAGTTGCTTACTCGATATATCTTAATTTTGTGATGAAGTACCATAGAAATGATCAAGGAAAAGTGCATGCATACTGTAACAGAGCGCTGGATTGCACTTGGCAAGTGCAGTGCTCTAGAGTCGAACAGTCAAAATTCTTCAGGGTGAGAGAATTTATAAATGAGTACACGTACGGAGGACCAATGGGTAGGGCACATCAACGATTGGCAAGAAGCCAATGGGTTGCAAAAAGGATTAAACCTCGACAAACAGACCTGATGATGCTCAGACCTAAAGATATTGCAAATGATGTTCAGTGGGATCATGGGGTCCAATTATCATACATGCAAGCTTAGCTCGGCAAATAAGTTGCAAGGGCAATGATCCTAGGCTCATAAGTGTAATCGTACACTGAACTACCTCTCTATATTGAGAAATAGAATATCACTAACCCTGGAACTATATCAGTCATACGAACCGATGAGCAGAGGATATTTGAGAGTCTCTTTCTTAGCTTTCATCCATGCTTCAATGGATTTCTGCATGGTTGTAGGTCACTGTTAGGGTTAGATGGGGCATTCTTGAAGAGAACATATCTAGGGATCCTATTGGCTGCAATAGCCATAGATGCTAATAGTGGCACGTTTCCTATTGCAATTGCAGTGGTAGAGAATGAGCATACTGCAAGTTGGATATGGTTCTTAGAGAGATTGAATTGGGTGTTTCTTCCTGAAGTAAGAAACTTACCACATTTGACAATATGTGAACGCCGGAAGGGTTTGCAAACTGCAATTAGCACTGTATTCCTAGGATTGTATCCAGGTCATTGCATGTGCCATCTTGTAGACAATTTCAAGGGGAAATGGAAGAGCAAAGTACTCCTAAAGAAGTAGTGGAAAGCCGCACTCGCATTATCAACTGAAGGGTTCGAGGAAGAGATGTTAAAAATTAAAGAGATAGATGAAGCGTCTTATATTTGGATAATGACTAAACGAAAAGAATACTAAGCGAATGCTTATTTCAAGGGTAAGAGGTACAATCATCTTACATTCAACATATTTGAGTCATTTAACAGTTGGATTTTAGAGGAATGTGAGATGCCACTCATCCCTTTGTGCAAAAACTTAAGAATAAAGTTAGTGAAGAGATGGGCTAAATATCGGCAAGAAGGTGAGCAGTGGGATGATGTTTTAGTGCCTAAAGCACAAGAAATTCTTAATGAACAAATTACGAAGTCAAGGTTCATGTATAATGTTATATAAGTCATAGACAAAAAATATGAGATCCATGAGGAGATGGCCCATGCTGTAGATCTAAATGCTTGAACTTGTACTTGTAGAATGTGGAGGAACAGTGGGTTGTCGTGTACCCATGCAATTTTATCTATGGATCACTGTCACCTCCATCCAATCCACTTTTATATGCCGTATTTTAGAGTTCAAGCATACAGGACCACCTATGCAACTGAATTCGATCTTGTACCAGTCTCGATGCCTCTGATTAGAACTTCTAATAGAACTGTATATCTCTCAAATACCAAGTGATACCCAGGAAGCAGCGCAGGCAGACAGAAGTGAAATCCACCAGGGGTTATGCCTGTAAACGTCGTAGTAAGGTAGGCCACAATTAGTACTCACTACCTCCGACATCTGGCGGATCAAGTGCCTTAGGATCATCTTTTCAGCCTTCACTGTCCTAGTGGGAACAGCTTCTCAATTTTTTAACTATTTAAAAAAAAATTGTATTTGGATGTAAATTTTGATGGTGTTTGTATCTGGATGTAAATTTTGATGGCATTTTTGTGGTTGTAAACTTTTGCATTTGGATGTAAATTTTGATGGTGTTTGTATTTTGATGTAACTGTTTGCAGGTTATTCGGATAGTAATCTTGAACTTGGGGAAGCAGGTTATTTGATTGTTAATTTTGCTTGCAGGTTATTTGGATATCAATGTTGTTGTGAGTGAATGGATGTTAATTTTGTTTTCGGGTTAGAACAACAATCTGGAAAAATCAACAGAGAGTTGTCCAGTATTTGGATCAACGGACAACTTTCTGGTCATTTTTACTTCACTTTTTTCTAGTTTCAAATTTTCAATTCACTCACTAACCTGCAAACAGTTACATCAATCCCATTCACATCAAAAGTACACATCAAAATCAAGACACAAATTTACCACCTCGAAACCTAGCAGTTCAAATCAAGACCCAAATTTGCTGAAATCCCCCAACCCACTCTAAGATTGAAGCTCAAATCCTGCTCTTTCAAGTTATTCAAAATCAATGCTCAATGAAAAATTCAAATCAGGCAATAAACCTCAAAATCATTTCAACATAATGTCAGACTCCCAAACAAAACAAACCAATCAAAAAGAAAAAAACAAAACCTTTATTTCAAATAGATTCTTCCCCTCTCCACTAAATATAATGAAACTTCAAACCAGGCAATACAAACATAAGGTATCAATGTCAGTCTCAATCCAAAATTACCATCAAAACAAAAACAAAAAGTGCATCAAAATAGAGACAAGAATTCAAAGGCCTGACAAATGCCTTATCAAATTTCGATGACCCAAAAGAGTTTATATCAAAATTGAAACCCAAAAGAGTTTTCCAATTTACATTGACCAAATCAAAAGTATTCCAATTTACTTCGAAATTATACAATATAAAATCAATGTCCTCTTCCTCTTCTGCGGGCAAGTACTTTTATCCTCTTTCCAAAAGGCTGGTGAACTGGGATTCGCTCTCTTAGCAATCCTGAGCTCTTGAGTCCGTGTGGATCTTCCTATTGGAGCTCTTCTGTAGTGCAGATGTGACTTAGTAGTTAATACAGGCTCTTGTTTAAAGTCATTATTGGACTCTTGTTCTTCCTCAACCAACTCGCCTTTACACAACGTCAGCTCTCATCTTAGCTCCCTAAAATATTGATCCTTTGTCTTGGGGTCTTGAGCCGCCAGCCCAATTTCAACAATTCCAATCAAATAGTCTGCTTTGGACAACTGAAACAACACAATTACAATCAAGATACTATCACAAATAAATAAAAATGAATTTATAAAATATAAATTTAATCTAAATACATACTTACCATGTGGTCACCATAGCCTCGAGATGTATACACATCCATCCAAGGGTTTTGTGGGTTATAAATTCTGGGGATAAAGACCTGCACGTACCACGTTTCATACTCCTTCGAAGGTAGACCATGACTAGGGTCATGTTCGCCTATTTGACAGTACTGAAGCCTGTCATGCTTGTCTCTGATTTGAGAGGTGTTTTTGCTCCTAGTTTTCTTCATTTTGACCCCACCTCTCAAATCTTTACCATCTACTGGGATTTGCTAGGATGGGTTGTCTAGGTCTAAATTGTCTCAGTGCCCGGTTTGAGAGGTACCGCTCTGCGATGTTGTTGAATATCAAATATGTCTTGCAAAGAGCGGTCTCAAATGCCTGCTGATCTAGAACCGCCTCAGCACCAATGTCTTTCTGATCTGCATATGGGTTCCATAATACCTATAGGAATGGATAACAACACATACATAAACAAATTTGCATGAATAATTATCAATAACTTTCAGGCGCAAGAGTATATAAACTAATAAGCATTGCAATTATACTCTATCAGGATCAAGGATATATAATTCCTGCTGGTAGTATGTGACATTCCCATCTGGGTTATCCCATGTGCCTGGGTGTACCCATCTTGCAGCCCTTGGTATACCAGTTTCAACCCGTCGACTGCTTCCTCTTGCCGCAATGTTTTGAAATACTCGAATACCCATGACTGACCAACATACATGCAATAATTACGTTAACATATATGAAATGTATAAATATAGCTGAAAAAAATGTCTGCAATTCACAAAACATAAACCTTTAAGACATACAAATAGAGAATAATTAGCACAATAAAATGAGTTTACCTGAAAGAATGTTGCACACCCAGAGAGGTGAGAACCAGGTGCCGCCTGAACATCATTCAATAAATTTTGCCTGCCCCTCTTTTTTTCAAGAGTTACGAACTTCTTGAGGGCCCTAAAAAGTTATGCTAGGGTCGTGGCCCCCCATGCGTACCCACCCACAACGTCAAAATCCTCGAAGAAGTACCTAATAGGGACTTCATTACCTTTCGACTGCGAAAAAATGGTGCTGCTTACTAAATATAGCAAAAATGTCATAGTGTGTCATTCTATTTGTTCTTGTGTAGGATTTTCTGGTAGATTCCCAAAACGTATCTCTCAACCAAGTGAAGTTCAATGAATGATGAATTTTAAAATCATTTGGCGGATGCGTCCCAACCATTGTAACAAATATGGCCCATATGGTTTGCATCTCACTGTCAATACCGGCTCACCGGTGACTCTAAGCCGGAAAGTACGCCACACATCATATAAAGTTGGCATCATCTCACCAACACTTCGCAGACAATGCCATGAATTCATCTCTGGGCCCCATCTCTCTGTCACTGCCTCCAAAAGAGCGTGGCCAATCTATCGCGGTGCCCCCTCCATGTCAGCATACTGAACAAGAGGCCATAGCCTCATCCTTCTAACCAAATCCACCTGCTCATTTGTAAGGGGCCAATATTGAAGGATGCTAAAAGCCTCATATATATAAATTTTATTCCTCGCCATGACAACAACGGCTTATCTCAAAACATGATCATCGTTCATGTACAACAAGTCATTTTCATGTGTCATAGGCTCTGAAATACATGTCATGATATGTTGGTAACATGCATACTAAAAGTAAATGGCACACATAATTATGTGCACCAAATTCACCTTTACACAAAGTCATCACAATATATAAAGAGATAAACAAAAAAATTCAAAGTATAATCATATACAAATAACCAATCATGAAAGTCAATTATTCAATATATGGTTATTTTCAATATATAGTTATTTTGGGAATCAAAGAAGGGTGCACTAATGAATGCGGAGAAAATTACAAAGCACGATTCATAGTGAAGGGATATGACATAAAATAAGGCGCAAATTTCAATAAAATCTAGCTAGTAAAAATATAGTTCTATTCAGTTTGTTATTATTATAAATGTTTTACATGACTTTCATTTAGAACAATTAGATATGAAAAGAAACTTTCTGCATAGAAATCAGAATGAAGAAATACATGCAACATCTTGAAGGCTTTAAAGAAAAAGAAAAGAGATTTGTGTACCACAACAAATGGATCAAATGCTAAGAATTTCAAAGCAAGAACACTGCAAAGAAAGACATAACCCTGTAACTAAAGAAGCTAAAACTAGGCTGGGATGAGACATCATTAGAAAGAAATGTATGCAATAAAACTATTTACCAACGTAAGATATGAACTTAGATGCATGGGATATGTCATTGACTAGAGCATAAGTCTAAAATACATTTTCTTGAATATTATAATACAATCCCATTCTATCAGATTAAATATCCAATGGCTAAGAATAAGTGGGACCTCTTGATAGGATCATATACATTAAAAAATCCACCATCATCACATCATAAGCACCAATGGAATAGAAAATGAGCAGTCCCCCAATCCACCATCATCACATCATCAGCACCAGTGGAATAAAAAATGAACGGGCGCCCAAACAAGTCATGAGACAAAACAAAACTAGATCACATAAGAAATATGCTTTTGAAAAGAGAAAAACTGCAACTTAAATGCTTGTTTCAAAGGAACATTGAAGAATTAACTAAGATAGAACCGGTGAATCAGCTAAACACAGGTGAATCAGTTCATGACAATTGGAGTTACTAAGATTGGTTAGTATCCCTGATTATTTCATAAGTTTATGTGATTTTTACAGTGTTAATGGGCATAGTGTTAATTAAAATTTATTTGGTTTGATCTAGAGGTTTTTTGAGGGCTCCCCCCTATTAATGAAAATAGATAAATGACAAGATTTGATGGTGATGTAAGAGCAAACTATCCATTTGCTTCCTAGGTAAAACCCAAGCTAGGATAACTTTTATTGACCATTTTGGAGATATAAGCTCTTCAACCTAGAGACCAACCTCAATAAATAAATAAACTAAAAAACAAAAATATCAAACCATTAACTCTATGTGCTTGAAAGAAAAAGCATCCTAATATTGAATAGGGACTGCTTAATATTTAGCGGGCAAGATCTTGGTATTGTAGAGCTCAATATCCTATATTTTTCTTAAAAATAATCATCTAGTGATTCTTAAGCAAATCCCAAAATTTCATATGAAAAAAGCTCCATGTCGCTTTTTTGCGCTACAGAGTTAATATACATCACGAGATGGACAATCTAGTTCCAATTTCTACATGAAGGAATAAATGAACACTTAATCTGAAGAATATCAAGCCGAGAACTCCAAATTAAGCAAACACTATTGCAATTAACACTGAAAACTAACATAACCAAGAACTAATATTACAAATACAAAGAATAATAATAAAAAAAGATTGGGTGTTCACAAAAAATTAAAATGAATATTCAATATACGTTTTGGGGTTATTTTATACCCAATACCCTGAACACCCAAATCCCATTTTCAAACGCAATCAAATAATAACATGAATATCCAAAAACTCTAATCAGATTTTTCATCCATTTTGGGGTTATATTATCACCCAAACCCTAATTCCCAAATCTTATTTTCCCAAAAAAAAAAAAACTAAAACTTACCTGATTGATTGAGGTTTGAGAAGATTATGCTTTGACTTGACTAGAGATTAAGGAAAAATAGTGTTGGATTGGGCTTCAGCTTCTGCTTGGCAAAGAGAAAGTGCGAGAGAAGAAGGAAAGGGCACCCATGTCCGGTAGAGCAGCGAAATAGGGCTTTTTCAGCTTAAAAGGAGCCAAAACCTTATCAGGTATATCGATCAACGGACAGGGTTTTTAATTTCGCAAGGTAAAAAACCGGACAACAAACTTTAAACCTAAAACTTAAAACTTAAAGAGCTGTCTAAAATTTCGAACACCAGACATCTTCTTTTTATTTAAATGTAAAAAACCCAGGTGTTCGGTTTACTTGATAAGAGGGTAACTTTGGAAAAAAAAAAACACGTGTAATTTAAGAACAACATGTTCCCATTTCATAATTGACCCCCAATATGGTCCTTACTTAATTTTCTCCAGAAAAATACAATAGGGATTACAATAAACTTTCTTTGCATATGAAGGATCTTCTACTGTGTTCCTCTTGATCTATAGAGTCATGGTAGAGAACTCCCATAAGAGATTTTATTCTACTATCTGCATTTCTCGTGTGTTGTTTCAAGTTTGCTCTCTTTTCATAGATATTTTCACCTTACAGTTATACGATGTTACGGTGGGTGGTAGTTGAATTCCACTCCGTTATATTTTGACACCTGTTCGTTCATCAACAAATAGTGCTCCTAGGAGGGCCACGTATCATCGGGGTAAGTTGATATGGGATCTCATTTATCTACTCTGATGTTGTGTAATCTCACGGGCTAACGACTTTCTCTCTGCAACTCATGCTATACCTCTCTCTCTGCAATGTTCACACAAAACTCACACCCCCTAAAAAGATCCACTGCAATGTTCAAACAAAACTCACACCCCCTAAAAAGATCCACTGCAATGTTCACACAAAACTCACACCCCCTAAAAAGATCCATTGTATATCTTTATGCTATGCCCAAGGCTCTCGTTAATAGCTCAACAATGCCTCTTGTTGATGCCCATGAAGACCACAAACGTTAATGCCTTCCTCCCTCTTTATATACATCTAAATGAGATAACTATGAAAAAGATAAGACACCACATGTAACTACTTAAAGATTAAAATCTTAGTCCTAAATCAACAATCTTGAGATCGCTAAAAATATCAAAATGTACGACTAACACCTTCTGTGCATATCTGCATGGTTCAAACTTGGTTTCCGAATTAGTGAAGACCTTCGTAGTTGCATTTTGCTGATCTTACTTGCCTTGAAATCTTCTAGCTGTGACGGTCGTAACTCCTCCTGTGTAAGTGTAACCCACAAATCATTTGCCGTATCACGAATCTCCCGTATGCCCGTCTTCCACATAATAACCAAACCAACTTGCTTGCGCAATTCCCATCACCCGACGTTATGGGTGTCAACTATCGCTTCTCAACCTCATTCACAGAGTCATCTACACCACATGGAGTCCCTTCAAATAGAATGTAATGCTTCTCCATTCGGTGCCCATGCCTGATCGGATCACCTTCGATCATCAAATTTTCGAACTCTTTGATATACACCACAGAGTGTCCTGCAGCAATTATATGCATTACTAACATTAAGTTGAACACCGTATCCGAAACATGACACACGTTCTCTCTCGCACAAGGCTTGGCTGCCTCCATCTCTACTGGGAAAGAGCGAGGGAATTCTACCCCTCACAGTGAACTCCAACTGAGGTTGTATCCACAACCTGCATAAATCCCACTTGCACATCATAGTCACCATTGTCGTCCTGCGACTGTAGTCGTGTATAATCTATCACTGTCTTCCCTTTCTCAATCTTACTGGGCATCTTGCTCTATTTTCATGAAGTGGCATACCTTTCCACAATGATAGCAAGTTTTTTTTCGTTGCTCTATTTTTTTTTTTTATCTAGCGTCATTGCAAGTTCCTCCCCACTCTCTTTCATAGGGAGCCTCACCATCTATCTTTCTAGAGCCCCTTTGTCCACTAGGAGGTTCTTTACCTTGACCAATGTGGCTTATGTGGGCCAACCTTGAGTCACGGTTAAAAAACCCATTAAACTCAGGTATTAGCCCACAAATGTTCAACCTCCATATCCGCTTTTCTCTGATCCATGACTATTCATCAAGGGGAGAGCCGGTAGTAACTTGGTTCTGTCGGTGCCAAAAATACAGCCAGACCACGAAAACACTATAAAAATCAGCCTAATATTGGGTAACCTCAGAGGTAGTGTCAAATTAGCCTCATATTGCATGAGATGATAGTTTTGGATGCCCTAAGGATAAATGTTAAATTTTCTCACGTTTTGAAAAGTTCCGAGCTGATTAGGACGAAAGTTGGTTGGCAAATCTAATTCCTATCATGCTGAAAATGGACCATATAACTACAGCCCTAAGTTTTGGGTGTCAAAAGAGTATTAGACCATCTCCATTGGACCCGAAACATTGGAAAACCCCCAGATACCAAATTTTGGCTCAATCAAACCCTCCGAGACCATTATGGAGCCTAACTTACCAAAAAAAGGTGGGTTTTATATTATTGCGGTGTAGCCTCAGTAATAAATGGAAACTGTGTTTTTTCATTTCGGGATGAATTTCAAATACTCATAACTTTCCCTTTTTTAGTCCAATTATGCTCAAATTCAAACACGAGCTAGATCTTGTCAATACGCTCGTTTTGACATATGGAACGCATCATAGCATGACCTGAAACGAGAGCATTGTTAGAGAGAAGATGAGCTCAAAACTAGAAAATTTAGATTTTAAAAAGAGAAACATCTCATTCTTTGAGAGGCTATAGCTCAAGATCTCGATTTCGGAACATCGCAAGTTTCGATCCGTTGCGACCGTGTTTCAAAGAGTTTAAATTTGATATGTTTTTTGTACATGATTAGAGGCCGGATGATACTGAATTTTGAGGTTGAAGAAGACACATTTTTCTGGTCGCCGAAATCCCATTTTTCGGTGACCTCCCAAATTTGGAATGTCCTCAAATGGAGACCAAAATAGACGAAATTTATCACAAAACAATCGTGATAGTATCCTCTTTAATTTGTGATCAAAATGAAGTCTCGAAACATCACGGATAGTGTGGAATCGGTGGTTGAAGAATCAAAAGTTTATGGACTTGGCTGGATTTTGGGTTCTTCATTAAAACTCTGTTTCAAGACGATCAATAGGTATCAAAACATGCGTAATAATTCAAGCATCGATTCTACTACATTTGATTGCTTGAATTGCCACCTAATATGTCCGAAAAAACTCTCGAGGCCTACCAATGGCAAAAGGCCCCTCATGGAGAGATGATTTTATCATGTCATGAAAAGTGCTTAAGGGTATTTTGGTCATTAGTTCTAAAAACGAGATTAATATTTTTATTCATTAAATATATAATTTCCAACAATTCTAGAGGTTTTTAAGTATCCACCCATGTTTTGGGGTTACTCTATATAAGTAAGCGAAGTCATTTATAAACCTAAGTTTTGAAGCATGAAAAAAAATTAGGTTTTTGCCCCTTCAGGCCTTTGCTTGTCAATAGCTTCTAACTTCAAGAGAGATGAGAGGGAAAAATTAACCACTTTGGGCAATTTCTCTTGGACCATTCACTTCCAATTCTCAACTTCCAAACCCTCCACTTCCAACTCCCAACCTCGAAGCCTCTCTTTTCTCTCTCTCTCTCTCACCCACTTCATGGATCCGCACCAGGGGAGGTTTAGTCTCTCCCTCACTCTCTCGCTCTCTCTCCTTCTCTCTCTCTCTCACCCATGTCACGGACCCACACCAAGAGTGGGTCAGTCTCTCCCTCACTCTCTCGCTATCTCTCTCTCTCTCTCACCCACGCCATGGACCCATGCCAGGGGTGGGTCCATCTCTCTCACTCTTCACTCTCTCTCTCTCTAACTCACGTCATGGAACCGCACCAGAGGTGGGTTCGTCTCCCTCACCTCTCTCACTCTATATCTCTCTCCCTCTCTCACCAGCACGGACACGTGCCAAGAGCAGGTCCATCTCCCTCATTCTCTCTAGCTCTCTCTTATCTCACTCTCTCTCTCTTCTTCTTCTCCCCTCTCTCATTCATTATTTCTCCCTTACTTTTCTCGTTCATCTACCCGCATCTCATCACCTCCTTATTCTCTCTCTTCACCCATCTCTTCTTTCACACTCGATCACTCGAGTCGGGGTCCTCCTCAGACAGTTCCTTTAAAAGGATGTTACCTCTTGGACTACTCAAACCACCAGGTCACATAGTGTTTTAGGTCACAAGAGATATTCTCTTGTGCTCAATCACTCGAGCTGGGGTCTTCCTGAGACAGTTTCCTTAAAAGAGTTTAACCTTCGGCCGGCTCTAACCATCAGTATGCATAGTGTTTGGGTTGTGAGGGATCTCTATCATTCTTTCTCGTTTACTATCTCACTCTCTTCTTTCTTATATACTCTCTTCTTATCTTCTTCTTCCTTCTTTCTTAACTCTCTACTTTCTCTTCTCGCAGTCCATTTCTCTCTCTCCCATCTCTTATAAATCTACTTCTCTTATACTCCTATCTTTCTAAACTCGGACACTTCTCTCTCTCTCATCTCTTATAAATCTACTTATCTTATACTTTATCTATCTTTCTAAACTTGGATAGCTCTTGCGAGGCACTTCAAAAGTGATTTCGCGATAGTTTAGAACTGCAAACCTCACTCTCCAGCTTCAGAAGTGATTTCTCAATAACTTAAAACTATAGACCTCACTCTCTAAATGACTTTGGTCTCAAAGTCTAGAGACCTTTCTGACATTCCTGGTTACCTCCTTAGAGAGGGGACACCGGTTCCTGGTTACCTCCTTAGAGAGGGGACACTGGAAAGATGTTTGAGCTTTGAGAGGCCTTCTTTTTCTTATATTCTCACTCCTTTACCATAGGATCCCTTATTTATCTGTTCATCTTCTGCTTAGTTACTCATTAGGGGGCCCGTACAGAAGTGAGCTTGCGATTGTCTAGATCTATAGATCGCACTCTCCCTTTGTGAAAGTAAGCTCTCGATAGACTAGAACTGTGGACCACATTCTCCCAAATCCCCTGGAATACCTGTGGCCTCCAAGCCCAGTATCTTTCTTGTCGTCGATAATACCTCTTGGGATAGATGACGTCAGAAGGCTGGTCAATATCTGGGTCAGTTTCATCCTTTCTCTTCTCTACTTTTTCTTCTCTATCCACTATCAACCTCTCTAGCCCTACGATTAGACCCCCAATCCACCATATAACTACCAATAGGAGGAGATCCCAAAAGGTATATGCTAATGGCC